TAACATGTGTAAGTGCAAGCTTCATAATAGCTTTGTGTGAAAAACCTCCTTTTTTATTCTAAGAATAGGTGGCAAGTCCCCTGGCAATTTCACACAGCTTTTATGTTGCTGAAATTTCCTATAAAGTTTTTGTTTTGTTCTTGCAATGTGTTTTCAGTAAGAATTCTTTGGACAGGGTTTTATTTGGCAGTTTTTCTTGGATGTCTCATGTCTGTCTATAACAGAAACAAATCATCAGGTGGACCTGAAGATCTGGTTCAACATAAAGACTTCTGGATTTTGTTTGTTAAGGAAACTTATTTGTTTCTATCTGGTTTAGAAATGTTTCTTGAATGCTGACCAAGGTTGCACATCCTGAGCAAGGACCAAGCTTGGACCCAAGGCCCCAGCATGTGCACATATGACCGCTTAGAGCTGCGCCCACACAGTCTTTCCTGAGAAGAACTCTTTCCTGACAGATTTTATCTTACAACAGGGAACTTTTTTAGTCAACCAGCAGCAAGGAGATAGTCTCTTTCTGTCAGAAGACCTTTGTATGGGTCTCCTCACTGTCATGTAGACCCCAATACTTTTTTAAGCATGAAAAGTCAGACCCATCAACATTTTTGCAGCCAGGCAGATGAGAGTGCCATGTATGTAGCATGGCAGCCACAGGTCCAGTAAAACAAGCAAAGGAAAAGCTAAGTCGCCACTGTGTTCTTTCTTTTTCCCTGTGCCAGCCTGGGAAAGGGATACAGCCCTGCCAGCTCCTGAGAGGGAAAAGTCACCCAGGAGGAGTGTGAGATGGCTATCGGGAAAGCACGGCACTCCTGAGAGAGAAGGTGGCCGTGAGAGGCTGTTTCAGTAGCGCTAAGGTGTGCGTGCAGGCACAGGGGCTATTTACCAGTCTATGGCTGACCTTCATTCCCCTGTTTGTGTAACATCCATTCTGCTGTAGTCAACCTCGCCTTCTTTCAAAAAAAGGGTCTTTTGTATGCTTATTAACACTATTAGCACTGGATGTTTTCTAATTCTGGATAATAATTGTGAAACTCTAATTACTGTAATTACTATGCTCCTGGGGTGAGGTTTTATTTTTTATAATTATTTCTAGCGATTTTTTTGGTAAATACTTTGTTATATTAAAAGCGTGATAGACAATCCTGAGTCCTTGCAGCACATTTATGTATCAACCTCCTCCACTGAATTTCATCAGTGCATTTCACCATTTATTAATCAGATATTACTAACTTATTTCTGCCTCAAGCAAAAACAAGGAGTGGGAGAGAAAGTGACTACTGACAAATGACAAATGATGTGACATGCCAAGTTTGATTCTGCCAACCAAGTATTAGTACTGGCCTAACAAGAGCAAAGATGGAGGTGACAGCTAGATGGCACAATTGAATATATTCTAAATCTTCCCAGCATAATCCTTTAAGGAGGAAAGAACTATTTCAATGTGTTCAAACATTGAAACACTTGAAGAAGCAACCTGAGACTTTGGCCAGTACATAAAGACCTTGATCCAGTTCCCATTGCTTTCCACAGAAGGATCCAGCTCTGTTTTTTGGAGTCTGTACTCCACAGCAGTCTTGGAATAAGCAAGATGTTCTCTTGTTTCTGTTTCTGATCACCTCTACACTGGTGGGATAAAAAGTTTTGTTTCTTCTAGAATAATCCACCAGATTATGTTAAGTCTCTCAGGAAAAGATGTCTGAATTTACACTATCATCTTCAGTTGCTCTACTACTTACAAATGTGAGCATGCAGGCCTCTTGCATTAATATAATCCAAAATACATTCTTTCGAAATAGCTTGTGGTCACACTGATAGACTTTTATGAGCCTTGGTTTTGCTTTTACCTGTTAGTGTGTGGTTTGGAAAATTCTGACTCTTGCACTAAAATGTAGGTATATTATACCATAAATTGTCATTCCCTTTTTGAGAACTTCATTGTGAGCGGAAAGTTGTTGACCCCAGCATGAAGACGACAGAGACTTTTTCAAGGCTGCTTCAACGGCTGCTTTTTGGTTTTTTTGTACAAGTTCTTACGTCAACCTAGACCAATCTCAACTAAAAACCACTTCATAATCCATTATCAAAGAACTGTTCATGCAACTCAGCAATGATTTTTCTGTGAGACTGTGAGACCTCATTTAGATTTTTAATAAACAGTCACATTCTAATGAGGTCTTCATAAAACTGACTAAATATGTTTAGAAATCATTAGCTTAAATTACCAGTACAAAAGTCTCCTTAGGGAGCCCTGCAGATTTTGTCATAAGACTTCTGGCAGATGGATTAGTATAATAGCACAAGTGAGTTCTGAATTTCCACACAAGCAGTGTAAATGTGAGTGACTGGGTAACAGGCTACTCGATAAAGAGCTAAATGTCCCTCAGGTGGGTTCATTAAAGAGAGAAAACAATCAAAACACATTTCTCTGCCATTTAAATACCAGGTGCACAGCAGTCTGCAGGTGCCAGAAACACTGACAAGGGTCCCTTGCCGGAACACACAGGAGCTTAAAGGGATGCATGGTTTTGACAAGTGTGCCTCAGATAATGACAGATATTGGCAGATGTACCCGGACCCTGCTGGAGGGTAATGCGGGGACTGAGTCATTTGCAGCAGGTGCTTGCATTAGGGACAGCCTCATGGTGATTCCTCCATCTGCAATTAAAACAGTCCTGATGCATAATGCTCCAGGGCAAGAAGCAAGTTCCTAGCACTGATTTAATGACTATCCAGCCAGTCCTGGTAAACAAATACGCCCCCTCAATGATTAATTCATGAAGGACGTACACTGTGTGGCAAACATGTTAAATAGATATTCCTCTTCCCTGAAAATACAAAGGAATTTTCCTCCTCAGCTTACAATGGGTCAAGAGGGTTAAAAAATAAAAATAATAAACCCCTATAAATCTTATACCAGCGATGGCAATTGAAATAGAAAACCTCAAGGTTGGGAAGGTTACAAGGCTCGTCCTGCAGGAAT